TCTCAATGTTGTCCATAGCTTGTCATGATCCACACAATCGAAAGCCTTTGCATAGTCAATAAAGCACAGGTAAACATCCTTCTGATATTCTCTACTTTCAGCCAAGTTCCAGGAGCCGCCGTGGAATGAAATTAGTCAGTCACAAAAAGAGAAATACTGCATAGGACCACTATTGTAAAAGACTAAGAAAAAGAACCCATACTAAAAAGGGGAAGATTCTTTTCTGGTTACTGTGATATGGGGGGTGGGGTTAGGGGAGGAAGGGGAAGGTGGAGCACAGGGTAGGGAACAGACACAGAATAGTTTAGGTCCTAGGGAGGGGGGTAATACACAAGAAGGGGGAAGGGAATGGGAGGACAATTAGGCAGGTTTACATGGGCTAAGTGGGACAGAGGTAAATAAGGATGTATGTACAACCTAGGAACAACAGGGTTCTGGGATACAGGGGTATTGGAAAGGTCAAAAGAGGGAAGCAATGTTAAGATTCTTGGCTGCCTTTTGAATCTTGGTTTCCCTTGCATTATATTATAAAACAGACACTTAAGGGGGAGAGAAAGGAATAGCCAGAAATATCACCATAGAAAGCTTATAAGTCTGTCTTCTGCCTATAACTGATTGGAATACCTAAAATGGAGCTACAATGTGCCCAGTGAAGGAGGCTTCCTGCGGAGCCTCTGCATTACATAAGACTATAGGTGGAATCCTGAACCCCATCCAGAGTCTTCTGAGGTGGGAAATTTCCACCTGAAAGGATGAGTAGACCAGCCTGGAACTACTGGAAGAACAGAAGATACTTCTAAGAATGATCAAAAGGAAAAATACAAAACAATAATGGCAGTCCTATTGACTACTACAAGAAAAGCAAGTTGTTCACCGAGGAGACATCAAGGCAATGGTCAGGTCCCGTCAGGGAAAACTCCTTTACAAGACTAAGACTCAATGGGAATACACGAGCAGGACATGTGCTCTGACAGTTGACCACGTTGGTCACTGATAAGAGGAAGTGAGGGAAAAACAGCAATGAAGCTGCGAGCTAAGCCCTACAATGTTCAATAGACTTCTATGACCCTGGATGGAGACCTGGTTGGCCAGCATGGCAAGACCTAGGGACTCCTGGGCCCAGAGTCAGTGACGTAGCCACAGAGGACTAGAGTGGAGAATGAAGCATCCAGTTGATAAGAAGAGAGGGCATATGCACAAGAACACCCACACTTGCAGATAATACCCACTTGACCTGGCTTCAATGGCTGGATGATCAGAACTCAACTAGAAGAAGAAAGAAGAGGAAAAAAAGAGTAATCGGATACAATTTGATGAACTTGACCTACACCTATGGATGCAGTAGCTCAAAAGAGGGAACAAATGTTTATAGCAAGGATCATTCCCATCCCCTCGATACACAGGGTAGACAGGGATGTTCAACTTGGACATTGGCTACCCAAAATGCAGGGGGGCGGGGGACTACAAAGGCAAGAAGTGACTGGCTTACAAGTTTTCAAGAGGGAGCCTAGATCCAGAGGGTATGGAGGAAGGTAGAATCTCCACTGAGTAGTATCCAATCTGGGCAGGGCTGATGAAAGGAAATGCGGATAGGTCTCTCGCGATACAATAGTGAATAATTGGTATCAGGACTGACTGTTAGAGTTGGAAATGTAAAAGTAGACATTTTTGTAGCAAAAGGAGGGGAGTGATTGACTTTGTATGCAGGAGCGGTGGTCCCTGGGACCATCAAAGGAGAAGAGTAGAGTGTGGGACTCTACCCAAAGAAACAGTGACACCAAAGATGGAGGCAGAGACAATGACCGATGACGTGGAGAGATAGAGCAGCTGGGGACTCTAGGCCCAGAGAGGGAGAGGGACTGTGTGCTGACAACCGATGGGTCAGGCTTACAGGGTATCCCTATGGTTGGTTGCTGATGCATGGAGGGGATTGTAACCATGGCAATGAAACACTATATGATAGGATGAATATAAAGCTAATGTTCTCCCATGTAAACTATCACATAATTATCAATAAAACATTTTTTTAAAAGTTCATGGAAAATCACATTGTTCTTTAATTCCCTTTTTCTATGAACTTTCTGAAGCTCCCTCATATATATATGGGGAGCACAGTGGCTCTATATGGTAAGCACTGGATTACAAACCACAAAGTCCATGGTTCAAGATCACCAGCTGCTGCGTGGGAAAAAGACAATACTCTCTGTTCCTGAAGGATGCTAATAGCAGGATTTGAAACCCTATACAGTGGTTCTATGAGTTGGAACTGACTCTCTGGCACTTAACAAGAACCATGTATACACACATTCCACGGGAGGGTGCATACATAAACCGCACACACTTGTTTCCATGTGTGTTGTCCCTATGACCTGGAGCCACAGTAGAACAGAGATGACACCGGAATCGACAAAGGGAAAGGAATACTCTGAATAGGACAGCTGATTTCCTGTTCAGGGAACCCATTTCTTGAGAGGCTACCGACACACAAGAAAGCAGAATTCATGGAAAGCGTCAAACGTTTGTGAACCTGCACATCTTCGGGAGGTATGGAGCTTCCTCCCCACCACAGGGCTCTTGGGAAGCAGCAGCTTACATTTGAATGGGGACAAGCTGTGCCGTCATTGGAAAGTGTCCTTACCTTTTTCTTCATGGCCAAGATGAACCCAACTAATTTAATGAACCCAGAATTAAGAAAACCAGAAAAAATGCTTCACAGACATTTGATGTCTCCAAAGCCTTTGCATTTCATGACCACCCAACAATAGAAGCTCTACTATTTCTTATAATCATCTGTGAAAACAGAAGGCAAGGATACGCGCCAAAGATAAGGAAAGCTCATTGGCTGAGATCCTCTTCTGGCAAAGAGAAACAATGTCTGCCTCGCAGTCGGTCTATCAAGCCATAAAACTGAATACAGCATGGACTAGACAAGAACAATCGCATCTGTTTTGGAGAAATATGAGAAATATGCTCATACCATTATCTTTGAATTCCATTTCCCCCTGAGCTTTTTGATGCCCCCCCCCATATGACCAGAAGGTTCTTTAGGGAGAATAATGAGACGTCATCTTGCTTATTTGATACATGTCATCAGAACAGGCTCATCAGTAGGAAGGAACAGCATGGGTGGGAAAGCAGAGGGTCAGTGAACCTGAGGAAGTCCCTCCACGGCATGGACTGGCACAGTGGCTGCCAACACGGACACAAACACAGGACTGGATAACATTTCCATCTGCCACTCCTGGTGTAGCACTGTAGGAGCAGCGCTGGACTGCGAAACACAAGGTCAGCAGTTCAAACCCACCAGGCTGCTCCTTGGAAACCCTATCTATATGAGTCTGAACCAAGTCAATGGCACTTAACGACCACAACCTAGTAAGATGCTGTAGGATAAGCACTGGACTGATAACTATAAGGACAGTGGTTCACACAGATCAATCACTCCTCAGAAACCCTAGACAGGGTCATTAGGAGTTGGAACCAACACAAAGGCAAGTCACAACAACAACACGCATAAGGTCACGATAAATCCTAGCGAACTGAGCAGAAGCTAACCACAGCAACCTATTCAGGGAGCCCTTCTTTCTGAGTTCTGCTCACCGCACAGTATAGATGGAAGCTCTGTCAGGTGACACTGTGTTCACCACTGGTAATCACGGGACATGTCTGATGTGTGTTCGTAAACTCATGACTAGAGTTCATCACTGTGGCGCTCTGTCGCATTGAGGATGAAACCTCTTCCTCCTCTACAACTCTTATTTGGGATGAGAAAAATCTCCCACAGATGCTGGCCGCCCAGGAAGGAACTCCAATCCAACTCACTGCCATCAAGTCTACTCCTAGTGACCATGTGGGTCAGAGGATAACGAACTGCCCAGAGAGTTTCCAGAGCTGTAAATCTTCACGGAAGCAAACCATCACAGGTTTCCCCACAGAACGACCGATGGGTTTGAACCGCCAACCTTTTAATTCAGTAGCCCAGTTCTTCACAATCTTTCAAATGGCCTCCACATTGGTTCCAGATACTCCTTGTTTATAAGCTAAACAAGTGTAAAAACCATCTGCTAAGAATCACATCCTCTAAACGGGAACAAGTAACAGAAAATACAGTTTCCAAACACTGACCTACGAGGTTCCAAAAATCTACACCCCAGACATCATGTGTTGCATACCTGGGGCCTGTTATCTGCTTATAGTTCGAATCTCCCAGGATGAAAAGGGAAGCCAACACTGGTAAGCACTTAGTCAGACTAGGAATTTTTGGAGTTACAATGAGCTTTGGGGAGGCGATGGGAAAGAACCGGGCCTCCTCATTTCTAGTCCCTCTTTGGTCAGCATCGATCAAATTGGCTACTACTAACTGGGTGTATGCTGGAGACATATTCAGGTTTTCATTTCTGTCTAGAGGCTCACGATTTCCCGGTTTCTATGGTAGACAGAGCTTTGCAGCATCACTAGGAAAAGCCGGCGCACAGATCCAACCATCCGTGGGATATCTGAGTACACATAACACAGCAAATGCAGGATATGCCCCGGGTACCAAGGGAGGGGTGGGCAACTGGATCAGAGACACGTGTGGTCTGGGTTTGGAGGAAGAACACCCATCCTACCTGGAGACACTAGCACCAGGCCTGCTCCCCCACGCTGGGCCATAGTTAGCAAGCCTGGGGAGGAGGACACTGTAGGAGCTGTGTGCTCACCTGAGAGCACCTCAGTCTGTGGGACTCACCTGCCTTCTGAGGCACCCGATGTCCTCCGACACACGATGACAGCTGGTGCGTGCCTCCCAGCGTGATCCGGGCTCTCTCTGATGTCCCAGACTGAGGGGTTGCTGGCCCGCACCCCCACGATGCTCACGCCCTTCTTCACCTTGACCCTGTAGGAGAAGGATGAGCACGTCTGAGACCGCTCTGGGGTCCTGGGGAGCTGTTTGCTGGGTGCCCGTGGAGGCTCACGTGAACAATTTCTCTCTCCTGAACATTTTGTCTAGCTGCTCCTACCATTGTGGAGGGACTTATGGACAACACCTGTGAATGGCGTACCTTGTACCAGCTTGCACAGGGTATAAGTGTGGCGCTGTAGGAAAAGCACTAGACTGCTAACTGCAAGGTTAGCGGTTCAAACCCTCCAGCTGCTCCTTGGAAACCCTATACAGGTTGCTATGAATCAGAACCAACTCAACAGTTAACAGCAGCAGCACCTACATAGAGAAACAGAGTATCACTTTGCCAGTTTTTTAAGTAGCCTTGGTGGTACACGGGTTAAGGAGAGGGCTGCCAACAGTAAGGTCAGCAGTTCAAATCTGTGGCCACTCCATGAGATAAAGACGAAGCAGGCTGCTGCCAGAAAGACTTCACAGACTCAGAAATCATCAGGGGCAGTTAGACTCTGTCCTACAGGGTCATGATGAATTGGAACCGACCCACCAGCAATGGGTTTATTTTTTAAAGTTTTTTTTATTGTGAATTGAGTGAAACTTTACAGGGCAGATTGCCAGTTTTACATTCAATAAATCGTATTTTGTTCTACTGCAGTGATTACATGTACCATCAGTCTATAGTATTTACTTCTATTCCCCCTTCCGCCCCCTTTTTTTTTGATGTACACATACAACACAAACATTATGTATTTGTTTAGCTGTCCAAGGGGCCCGGTTTGCCAGGCAGCCTCCTGCCCAGAGCACACAGCCTTTCTCAAGTTCATGGGCCCAGAGCCCTCAGCTGCTCTCTCTAGGCCATCACTTCGGCCACTGTCTCTGCTGTTGCCCCTTTTCTGGTTAGGATCCCACACTCCTGAAATGACTGATTAACTGCTCCCCCCTTTAATTACATATCGTCAACATTTACAGTTGTGACAATCACAATCAGTTCTGATAATAATGACACAAATGGGTTGGTTTTGTGGTCAGCTAGTTATGGCGTTGCAGGGTATGAGTTGGGCTGCTAACTTCAATGTCTCCCAGTCCCTCCACAGGAGAAAGATGAGACTTCCTGCTCCCGTAAAGATTTACAGTGTTGGAAGCCCGACACAGCGTTGCTATGAGTCAGAACTGACTCCACAGCACACAACCACAACTGCCACCTGCTTATGCTTTTAATTAAAAGAAAAGAAAACCCCTAAACTGTTGAAACTAAAGAAAAAATGAGTTCAGCTGTGAGAGCTGCTAGGGACAGCACTCTGACATTTAGACACCATGGCCGAGGACTGGTGGGGAAGGATCTGCATTTGTTTTTGTCACTGTCAGCTGCCACTGAAGGGGTACAGACTCATGACAATGCCATGTGTCAGAGTACTACTGTGCTCCACGGCTTGTTGGAATCAGACCATCGGGCCTGTCTGCCTATATGCCTACATTGTTGTTAACTGCGCTCAAGTTGGTTCCAGCTCAAAGCAACCCTGTATAGGGTTTCCGAGGAGTGGCTGGTGGGTTTGAACTACCACCCTTGTGATTAGCAGTCCAGTGCTTATCCTACAACAGCACACCTTGACTCCATATGTAGGAGAATTATAAATGATTTCTAACTACTGCTGTGACTCACATATAAATCGAGGCTGTGGCAGCTACAACACAGAATACTAACCACTATGTATACAGTCTTGGCACGCCACCAGAAACCTACGGACGGACTCAAATCACTCATCTTCCTGCTAGGATTGGGCACTTCACTGTGCTTCTGTCTTCTGGGGTCCTTCATCTGTATCGATGTACCGACTGTTCCCCACAGTGCTCCACAGGCTGGCGAGCGAATAATGCCCATCAGCAGACACTGGTGTGGAGAGGAGAACAGGTCTGACTTCTGAAGTTATTGCATAGGGTTAATGGGTGTGGCGCTGTGGGTTAATGGGCTGGACTGCAAGGTCGGTCAGAACCACAAGGTCGGTGATTCAAGTTCACCAGCTGCTCCTCAGAAACTCTATACTGGATCGCTATGAATTGGAACCAACTCAACAACACTTAACAACAACAATAACAGAAGGTACCTTGAAAGAAAGGCCTGGTGATGAATTTCCTAAAGATAAGCCATGGAAACCTTGTGGAGCACAGTTCTACTCTGACACACACGTGGCACCATGAGTGGGATCTACTTATGAAAAATCATCCACTGAGAACCCTGTGGGGGGCACAGTTCTACTCTGACACATACAGGGGCACCATGAGTGGGATCTGTTTATGAAAAACCATCCACTGAGAACACTGTGGAGCACAGTTCTACTTTGACACACACACAGGTGCCCTCGGTAAAATCTAGTTATGAATAATCAGTCACTGGAAACTTTGTGGACCACAGTTATGCTATGATACACATGGAGACACCGTCAGTGGAATTTACATATGAAAAATCAGGCAGTGAAAATCCTATGGGATCAAGTTCTACTCTTGACACCCATGGACCACCAAAAGTTGAAAGTAACTTGGCAGCAACTGGTTGACTGGCTGGTGTTACCCTTTCAGAGTCCTTGTGAGATTAATACACATCTTACTCTCAGACAGAGGTTTCATGCTCTCACACAGGTTGTACAGTTGAGTGATGCTCTGCCTCCTACACAGTAATTGTTGATGTTGTTGTTAAGTGCTGTGGAGTTGGTAGATTTGGGGGTTCTACAAGTCTTTTTCCCACCAGTACACCTAGTCATTCTAACTCACAGTGACTGTATAGAGTTTCCAAGGAGCGACTGATGAGTTTGAAACAGCGCCCTGACCTCACATGCGGTTTTCTGGGACTGAAGGCACTGACGTTGGATGTACTCCAACACTCTGTTAACCAGCACTAGTCATATCATTCAATGTTACCCAACAGACACTCATATTTGTCACAAAAATGCATTTGCCAAAGTGGGTGAGTACCTTTTACAACATAGTCCACAAAGATTACATTCTACATCCTACTTTGGTGAGTAGTGACTGGGGTCTTAAAAGCTTGTGAGTGACCACCTAGGGTACAATGATTGGTCTCCGCCTGTCCATAGCAAAGAAGGGTAAAGAAAATCCATTCGTCCAAAGGACTAAAGGACCACATAAACCTCAACCTCCATGACTCTGAGATCAGAAGAACTAGATGGTGCCCAGCTACCACGCCTAATTACTCTGAGAGGGATCACGATAGGAGGCCCTGGATACAGTGAGTGAAATAGGTGAAACAAAACTAAAAATTATTTTTAAATGACTAGATGTACTGGTCAGAAAGAGACTGGTAGAACCCCCAAATCTATGGCCCTTAGTCACACCTAAAGCCTGGAACTAAACTCACCCCCAGTGATCAGTTTTCAGTCAAACATCAAACAGGTCTAAATGGTGAACCGTAACTCCAGGTAGCTACATCCTCCTTAGAACAATCAACCAGATGAGTGCCAAAGGACACCATTTGGCCAGAGTAAGCTCACCAGGTTGGAAGGGACAGAAAAGAAGGATGAATGGAAACAGGAAACACAGGGAGGAAATGGGAAGAATGCTGTTACATTTTTTTGGTTGCAATCAATGTCACAAAGCAAAAATATGTATGAGTGGTTGAATGAAAAACTGATTTGTTCTGTCAACTTTTACCCAAGATGCAATTTAAAAACAAAGTGCTTTTTCCATCCCAGGCTCCGTTCACTACTTCTCCCCCACTTGCCCCCTCTCTCGCCTACTCCTTTGGTGGAAGAAGTAGGTGACATGGCCCTGGATTTTTCTCTATATTGCCCCCGGCTTCTTCCCTGGAGACAGGCTAGATAAGGAAGGGAGAGAACACACAGCAGAGCCGGTCTCCTTGTATGTCTTCATTTCTAAGAAATTTGTAGGGAAACAAAAGAAAATGTGGTAAGACTGTAAAGTCTATGCTGAGAGGGAAATACAAGAAATGATAAAACGAAAGTTTGATTTGAAAAATGACTGACAGCCTTCAATAAAAGAGCACAGCAAAAACAAATAGAACACGTGTTTCCTGGTATGGTCCCTTGGGAAAAACATGCGACATTTTGAAGCAAGAGTACCTGGGGGAAAGGAGCATGCTGATGGTGACAAATAGAAGACAATGCCAAGATTGGCAGACTCTGAAGTCTGGTTCCTAAAACATAAGATGGTTTTGTCTTCATGAACACAGAGACAAGAAGTGGTCCATAGTCTCCTCCAAGAAAACGGTCACTTGTGTGGTCATAAGAGATTGTGAGACCAAGAGACTACTATGAGGGGCAGGGCAGGGGCTTGCATTGGGGTGGGGTGGGAAGAGAGAGGATATCCATTGGGCAGGTTTGCTGCAAAAGACCTCTTTAAAGTATTAAAAAGCAAAGATACCACTTTGAGGACTAAGTTGTGCTGATTTAAACACCATGGTATTTCAGTCATCTCATATGCATGTGAAAGGAGCTCTGGTAGTATAGTGGTTATGAATTGGGCTGTGAACCTTAAGGTAAGCGGTTTGAAACTACCAGTTGCTCCGCGGGAGAAAGATGAGGCTTTCTGCTCCCGTAAAGGTTTACAGCCTCAGAAACCCTGTGCAGGGTCGCTATGAGTCTAAACTGACTCCAGGGCACATAACCATCATATGCATGTGAAAGCTGGGCAGTGAATAAGGAAGATCAAAGAGGAACTGAAGCATCTGAATTATGGCGTTGGCAAATTAGACTGAATGTGCAATGGAGTGACAGAAGATGGAACAGATCTGCCTTGGAAGCTGTACAACCAGAATGTGCTTCAGAAGGGAGGCCAGCTCGACTTCATCTCATGCACTTTGAGCATGTTATCTGGACAGACCAGTCCCTAGAGAAGGGCATCATGCTTTGGTAAAGTGGAGGGTCAGTCAGAAAGAGGCAGCTCCTCAATGAGATGGACTGACATGGCCGCTCAAACAGCAATGGCTGTGAGGATGGTGAAAGACCAGGAGTGTTTCATCCTCTTAT